TTTTCACATGTTGCCTAAATTGCGTGTGTCTATTTGATAGTGCAGATTCCATTTGAGGTGGGGATGCAGAGAAATTCTTTATGATAGATCAGCCGATGGAAATCTATTTGTAACTGGCCTTGCCATGTCCAAGGTACATAAGTCTTTTGATACAAGTGATTTAGGTGACACTGAAGCACATTATTCTTTTTCACATGTGCTTTTTAAGTATTTTGTGGATAAATACGAAAGAACTGAGATTCTTCCTCTTTCAGTGTTCTAATAAACTAAATTTAAACTGAAATATTCCTTCGTTTTGTTCATTAGCAAGACCTTAAATTAACTTTTTGGTAGTTTAAATGGCTGTATAACCAACTATAGGTTTGGTATGGATTTTTATGCTTGTCCAGGCATGAGAACTAACAATTGATACCTTTCGTCCAGGCCACTCAAAAGAAAACCGTCAAAGCTGATGCTTATGTAGCAGGTTGGTGGCTCTCAGAATGCGTGCCTATTTTTACCTCTTTCTACTTTCCAGCCTCACGAACTGAAGGTTTGAGTCGAAATATTTGTGATTTCAGCTTGTGATGTCCCTGGAATTAAAAGATTACTTCCACAGAGTTGGAGGGAGTCTCAGTTCTTTGACAATATCTATAAGCTTGTTGGTGTACCAGTTGTCACTGTGCAACTTCGGTATAATGGCTGGGTCACAGAGTTAAGGGACTTGGAAGCTTCTAGGTGATCAGTCACTAATGTTTATGATAGTTATATAGTTTGGTTTTGGTTATATTCTGGTCAATCTTGTTTTTGATTTTGGATTTATCATCAACTCTGAAATGGTCAGGCAATTGAGGCAAGCCACAGGTCTCGACAATTTGCTTTATACTCCAGATGCGGATTTCTCTTGTTTTGCAGACCTTGCACTCACATCCCCAGAGGATTACTACCTTGAGGGCCAGGGCTCATTGCTTCAGTAAGAAACTTGCATATGTTTCACATTTTTGTTAATGCAGAAAAAGATCAGTTGAACTAGTATTATAGTGATTTTGGTAATTCGGGCAAAGAAGTTGTTTTTTGTGATGCCCTTTCTGTATCTCATTGTTCACTTAATTTTTTACAGATGTGTGCTTACACCTGGAGACCCTTACATGCCTCTATTAAACGAAGAAATTATAAAGAGAGTTTCGGAGCAGGTTGATGATACCTTAGCCAATCCGTGATCTTCAGTTCAACAGTACTATTAAAAAAAAAAATGTTTACATTTCATATGCAAATTAGAAGGATGAAACTATGTACAGGATTA